ATCACATGAACATATATATATCTTATGCATGTATCACAATAATTATCATGTATGCATGTTCACCACTATTATATTATAAAAATCAACTTAGGGATTAGAATTATCACAAGTCTTATTCCATTATAATATACATATAGTATGCACTCACCTTAGCTTTTCTTTGATTCGATTCTAATCCTTTGATCATTCCGGAATAAGCTTACTTTTAGTATCTACATAATCGCACATGGATCTATATTAGTATTATAACTAATATATTCTAATGGTTCATTCTTTAGACTAAGAGAAAAGTAAATTTCATCTTTTAATGAAGCTATGCATCGATGCACTACTGATGCATCGGTGCATAAAAGATATTCGATGTATTATTATTGCTGGGATGCATCGATGCACTTCTTATGCATCGATGCACCAATTGCATTCGATGTTTCATTATTAATGGGATGCATCGATGCACTACTTATGGATCGATGCATGAATTACATTCGATGTTTTTATTTTAAAAGAGTGCATCGATGCACTACCAATGTATCGATACACCTTCAAACAGTTTCTGGGTTTTAACCTTGATGCATCGATGCACTATGAATGTGCATCGATGCACTCTACCCAGAATCCTCTTTTTGAACCCGAAAATTCATTCATTTTGGATTAAATCCTTCATGTTTAATCCTCTTTTTCATTCTTAACTGTAATACACATCCTTAAACCAATTTATACTCATTTATTTCATCTTAAACCTTCAAATTCTATCCTTCATATGTAATTCAAGAATTACATTAATAAATCAACATGTTTGAATCCCGCTTTTAACACTTCGTATATCTTAACTACATTGATGACAAGTCAAATATAACTTTCAATCTAGTTATAAACTCTATTCCAAGATTTTATTTAAGAACTTCAAATCTTAAATCTCTCCTAACTCAATCATCCTTTGATGTTAAGATAACTTAAGTTTTCCTCAAGCTTAGTTATCATCCAATAATCAAAACCCAATATTAAATTTAACAAGAAACTCAATAATCAGAAATCTTACCTTTGCTTTGGTTCACACGCACAAGGAAGAAAGAAGAAGAGAACTCTGGAAGCCTTTGCTGTTCTCTCCTTTTTAACCCACTTGTACTCATATATATCCTTATCCCTTCTTTAATTAATTTTCCTTGCAAATGACTCTTTGGCCCTTCCATTCCTTCTTCCTTTCAATTAAATTCTACACAATCAATTACATATAAATCTTTATACTATTCATTCATTCTATTTTAATCACCAAAATCTGAAACTTTCCAATTTAGTCACTAACCCGGTATTGAGGATGTTACATATATGCTATATATTATTCTATATGTTATATGATCTATGAGAATATATGAGAACAAGATATAAGTTATGTGATATGATCTACGTGTTTACATGAACATATGATATAAGCCATGTGACATAACCTACGTGATTACTTGTCTATGTCAAATAAGATATAATAAATGACATAAATTGTAATGTCCATAGTATGTGATATGAGAGCTGAGAGTATAATTGACATGCCAAGAGTCGAGGGTTCTACGCGATCCTTCGGGACAAATCTACGTGGTCCTTCGGGACATTTCTATGTGGCACTTCGGTGTAATTTCTACGCGACACTTCAGTGCAATTTATACGAGCTGTGGTGACAACATTTGTGCACAACCTCAATACACTCACATACCTTAAGTTCTCAGTAATGTACCATGGGCTACTAAAAGAGATAACATGAATTAACATTGCATAAAGGGATATGTTATTATTGGTTAAATACACGCTGAAGTATGTTCTTGTTGATTAGATATATGATGATTTTTGTACATTGTGAAAGTATGTGATTACATGTTTCATTATTGCATTATATGCCTCACTAAGTCTGTGACTTAGCGTGTGAGTGTTTCACACGTAGGTTCAAAGAAACAAGAAGATGCAAGCTAGGACAAGTCAGCAAGACAATATATATCAACCGAAGATCAGATCAGAATTGATTTAAGTTGTATGTATTTTTGTTATATGTTATTTTGTTGGCATGTAAATGAAAAGTTTAAATCAAATATGTTCTGATCGGTTTTGTAAACCTTTTTGGTTATATTTATGTAAATTATTCAATTTTTATTTTAATAAAAATTTGAATTTTCAACTATCTTGTAAAATAAATGATTTGAAAAGTCAATGTGACACCTCAGATTTGTTTCCGGGTCAGATACTGGTCAGGGGTGTTACAATGATGGTTTGATCTTTTGATGAGGTTAATTTCGAAAAATATTACTCGCTTTTCCGAATAAATTTTTCTAATAATAAGAATTTTTTTTAAAGGAAAACCCAAAACCCCTAATCTAGTAAAGCTAATAAACTTAAAAGAATAATATATTTATGTTTAATTTTATGAGTTTTAAAGATATTTTGAGAAAATATAAATTAATAAAGTGATAAAGGACGATAAGATAAGTTTGTCAGTGTCTAGGATATTCACAAAAGTTTTTATAGAACAGTGATTTTCAACTGAGATATGATAAATATGGTGATACGAAAAAATAAAGGATAAACTATATGAATGGTCCCTTATGTTTTTGGTCTGATCAATTTTGGTCATCGGTTCAGAAAAAGAATGGTTTTGGTCCCTTAACAAAAGTGTTAAGTGCCCATTAAAAAATTAATAAAATTCACTTTTGTTAAGGGGTTAATAGGAGTTAGCGGTTGAGGGATTAAAACTGAACGAATCAATATCGTAAGGGACCAAAACACTCTTTTTTTGAATCGGTGATCAAAATCGATTAAACAGAGAACATAGGGACCCATCCGTATAGTTTATCCAAAGATAAAATAAAAATATAATTTCAAAATATATATATTTTTTACTCCTACGTGAGTATAAAAATAACACGTCATCTAATTAGTAATGATTAAGTGATTCAATAACTAAAAATTCAATTTAAAATGTTTAGTAGTAAAATTGATTTTTTTATAATCCAACAATTAAAATAAATAACATTTAAAATTCAATGATTTAATAATATAATTTACGAAGTTTAAATTTCTAATCCGTGCTTGTTTTTTTATTTGTTAAATGTTGAACAATTTGAATACAAGGTAAAAGAGACTACATTAAACATGCATATTTTATAGTTGTAGTCTTTACCATCAAAACTGATCCAAAACTATTTTACAATCAAACTTGAAGATGGGGATTTAATATTTCATATCTAATTGAAAGCAGAAGACATTTTGATCTTTGAGTCTCTCTTTCTTGTTTTTGTTATATATTGATTTCTTAAATTAATTGGCACTTTCTCTTCTTCATCCGTATGGAAGTATAATGAGTGTAATAATTTTATTGTTTGGCTATAGGCATGAGACTCGAACTTAACGGGTTTAAATCCGATCTGATCTGACCGATCATGTTAGGTTTTTAAAAAAATTCGGGTTTGTGTCGGGTTGATTTTTTTTTAAAATGTGATATTCGGGTCGGGTCGGATTCGGATTTAGGGCGAAAAATATCCAACCCGATCCTACCAAAAAAATATAATTTTACCTTACAAATTTAGGAATAATTATAATAATACCCCTCTATATATTATTTTTTTCAATTAAATCACTTTTTTATTGAATAAAAATAATATTTTTTATTATTTCTGATCGTATCGGGTTTAAATTTTATCTCAAAAAATCAGGCCAGATTCAAACTAGGTGAAATGTATTTATTTTTTGGGTCTTGTAAGATTGAGTGAAGGGTGTAAAATATTTTGATTAGGTCGGGTTGGCCGAAACCCTACCCAAATCCGACCCATGCCTATCCAAGAGAAATTATGGACAAATAGAGGTGATTTAGGGTATACTGTTGAATGTGGTCAATGCTTGAACTATTTAAGAAAAAATAATAATAATGGTTAGTATTTTTACAAGATTTTGACGTACTAATTCTACGGTTGAGTTGACATAAAAGAGGGTAAAAAAAATGGGAACTTGATTTTAAAAACTTAAAAGACACGATATTATTTTACTATTATTTTCTAATTTGTAAGTACTTCATCCTTCTAACAACAGTAGATTAGAATTTAGAGTTTTGTTTTCATCCCTTTTTTATTTGGGGTGATATTCTGTAAGCGGCAGCAGTTTTGGTTCTTGAAGCTTCTTTGGTTGTGAAAAAAAAAATGGGCAGGAGACCACTTGTTGTGAAGCGCCAAACAAAGCATCCCATGGTAAAATCATACTCCTTTTTACTTTGCTTTTTCTGTAAATTTTCAATAGCAAAGTTCACTTCTTTTTCTTAGGGTTAATTTATGATATTTTTTTTTTCGTTTTCTGAATGTCGAATATGTTCATTTGCATGTTGTCCTTTGGGCTACGACTAGTTTTTGTTTCGTCTCTGTCCATATCGATTTGATTTTAACAGATGAAAAGTTTGTTTAGGTTTAGGGTTGTTTTTTAATGAAAAAAGATTGTGTTAGTAAAAGAAGGTTCCATTGTCTTCATTTAATTATATTTGGTATGACAATGATTCTTGATACCGTACGCCTTTTCTGGGATAAACTTTGACTTGCAACTGTTATATGATTTTCCTGGAAAAAAATAATGGACTCTTGTACTCTTTCATTTTATAATTCATGGAGTAAATCATTGGTCAAGCCAGTTGCATGTTGAATTTGGACAACTGGTGTATGTGATTTATGTTCAATTCTGCATTTTATGTTATTTGTAATTTTTCTTCCCTGTGCTTTACTTGATCCTATGTTTATGCAAATCGAAATGAAATTTAGCTTTTGAAACTGAAATTCTTTTGCAATGACATAGATAATTAGATTTTGTCTCATTTTAATTGTGCAATTCTAATCTAAGCTTGAGGCTAAAGACCCTACTGGAGGAGTGGAAAAGCAACCTGAATGCTCGAATCCTTTACCTGAAAATGTCAAAACACAGTCGAATTCTGCAGATTTGTCTTCACTTACAAAGGCAAATAAACACACCGCTCTTTCTGTGGTTAGGAGATCCCAACGTATTCAAAATGCAGTTTCTCCTTCCCAGGACAAGGAAATTGAACGTATAATCGAAGAGATAACTCTGAGTGAAGGTGAAAAGGATGTTGATGTGCCACTTGATGATGAGACGAGGAACTACCAGAGCCAATCCAGACACAGGAGAGCATGGAAGAAAAAGTCAACCATCTTTTACAACAAATTGATGAACAAAGAAAGACTATAGAAGAATTAAACTTCAAGGTATTCAAGCTTCTTTTGCCTTTTGCAGATCATCATATGATCTTCCTAAAGGTGGAATCTTGTGAATTTTGATAAAATATTTTGTTGACATTGACTAAAACAGGCTACTAGGAGTTCTTCCCCAACTGGAAGCCCTCGTGGAGCAGATGTCAGATATCGAAACTTGTATTTTGAGTCGCAAAAGAAGGTTTCTTTTTCAACTGCTATGTTGTTTTTCTCCCTAAATGGAGATTGAAGTAATGGTCATTATTTGAAATGTTCGTGTAATGAAGTGTTTTACTTTTTTTCCTGTCTGACTGCAGATTGAATCCTTGATGAATGAAAACCACCAGCTAGCTCTCAAGTTGGAACGAGCCCTTGGCAAACTCGAAGCAGTATGTCTCTAAAACTATCTTTAGCTCAAATAGGCTGCCAAAGAACTCTATTACCATATTATGTCTCTAAAACTATCTTTAGCTCAAGTAGGCTGCCAAAGAACTCTATTACCATTTTATATGGTACATTCATGAGTATTTATTTGACTGTTTGATGATTTGTTATACTTGGGAGTGATGATTTGTCATTACCATGATCTCTTCTGGACAATGAAGCTAGACCTTTCTTGGTTCTTTTTCATGTGAAAATTTTATAGCCTTACAGTTGAGTTATAAAATGTCATCTTTCTCTGTATAAGGAGCGATATGATAGCATAAATGGATTTATTTACTCTAGATGCATTAATTGCAATCACACGTATAGTTTTGTGTTGCTTCCTTGGCATATTATTAAACGTATCTGGGGTTTGCTATTTCTGGCAGCGTTTCCTAAAGATCAAACCTTTTTTAATGTTAACTTTTAACATTTCGTTTTTTTTTCTTTTGCAGTATGAGAACGGAGCCTGTGCAATTTCTGAAGGACTGAAGAAAATGAAGGAGATGATCTTGGTCACAAACATGACAAGATCAACTGAAACAGCAGTGAATTTTTCTACTCAGGCCTTTCCTTCGATGGATGCAGGTGCCGAGCCAAAAACTAATCCTAAGAAGAAGAAAGCTCGTACCGGTAAATAGGCTTCAATCTAGTTGAATCTTAGTTGGTGTTTGTCAGTGTTTTGGTTGACATTGAATTAGAAGATCTTGGCAAGTCCGTGGTGTTACCATTGTATCCAAACTTGGAGCTTTTGTGTTTGGTAATGCTGATTGCATAGAGGACTTGGTGTTTTAGTTTCATAACAAGGATTTAAGTGTTAGAAAACTTGATCTTAAAAGCTTATCTTCAAAATGAGTATTCAGCAGTTAAGTTACCATAACTTGGTCGCGGTGGGGGCTAAACATGTTTACTGAATTAATCCTTTAACCAAATTTATTAATATTATGGTTCAATAAATATATTAAATATTTCAATTTATTTGTTCTATGTTGATATTTGCATTTTATGATTTGGTTTCTTATGGTATTTTGAGATTATGTAAAAAAATTCATAAAAAGAGTTTAAAATGTTCTAAACTTGGCCTAACAGAATAACATTTTTATATAACCCACACGCGCCCTCCTATTCTTATATACATGGTTTTCAGAATCGGACCGGTTAGCGAACCGGTCATGTTATCGGTTTATTGGTTCAACCGTTCGAATCAGTTCGACCGGTCGGAAGAACCGAACGATGTCATAATTACTTAAAAAATTAAATAAAAATACCAAAAATATTTAATAAAAAATATTTTTTTATCACAAGTCATATTCAAAGTAAGTCATAACATATATAAGTTAAAAACTATAAAATCAAGTGAAACAAAATGATTCAAATAAACTACAACATAATATTTAAGGTAAAACATATTGAATAATAAATATAATTATATAACTATAATAAAAAAATAAATTTGGGGTTAAAAAAATCATAACAAAATGATATTGTTTGGTTTAATTTTTTTTTTAAAACAATCCCACATGGCTAAGAAACATAGAAGAGCATCCCAAAAGTCTAAAGAGTAAAAATATGAGAACAAAACAATCTCACATTGCTAAGAAACATAGAAGCGCATCACAACTAACTTCTATAAATAATAGAGGTAATTTGACATTCAAAATCATGGAGTCTTTTGGTGAGCATTGAGTGAACTATTATTTCACTTCAATCAAGCTCGAATTTTGAGTTCAAGTTTCAAGTTCAATCAATATATTTCGAGTGTGAGTTGAACTTGATAATTTTTAGCTTGTGAGTTTGAGTTGAGTTGAGCTTACTTTTAAAGTTTTCAAATTCGAGCAGAGCTCAGCAATACTCGAGTTCGACTTGGCTCGTTTAATAAACGACGTTGTTTGGTTTAATTTTTTTTTATAAAAAAAACAAAAATCCCGGTTTTTTCTGGTTTTTCCCGGTTTTTTCTGGTTTTCAGCCGGTTCGGTTCGAACGGTTCAGCGGTTCTGGCCAGTTCACTAATAGCGGTTCAACCGGTTTAGATTGAATCGGACTAAACAACGGTTCCGATTGAACCGACCGATCCGGTCCGATTTTCAAAACAGAGCTTATATATATATATTATCTCTCTTAAAATCTTACCAAAATATATACCAAAAAGGCCTAACAGAGAATATTTAAATATTTTAAAAAATAAATAAAAAAACATAACAAACAATTTTATTTTTTTAGAAGGAGAAAAAGAAATAAATAAAAATAACATCCTAACAAAAACTATACTTTTGGGTACATAATAAAAAATAATTTTAAATATTAAAAATAAAAAAAGATTGTCACACTTCACCCACACTGACTAATCTTGCGACATAATTTAATGTTATTTTATTAAAAAATGTAAAATGAATAAACTGCACATATAAAACAATCAGTTGATCTAATAGAAAAGATATTAGATTTCTTAAGTAAGGTCGATAGTTTAAATTTTGACATTTGTGAATGAAATAAACTGGTTGGAAGGGTCTCATTTACCTCTATTTGATCTGGATTAGATGATCAATAGATCGGATACTAGTGATAAAAAAATTATTAAAAACATTTGGATGTAATTAATTTAATTATTAATTAATTATTGAATTTATATTATGTATAATGTATGAGGGGTTTCTAAGCCAAAGTCGAAAGATGCAATTAATAGATCCAAAGGAACTTCAGAATGTTTACTAACAACGCGTGAAGCACACTGTATCTTTCTTCTTTTTTCTTGGAAAGCTTAAGCAAAGTTACCCAGTATTTGGAATTGGACACACCTTGTCATAGTTCAAATAAAACCTACAAACAGTGATAATATATAGGGTGTTTTTTTTATAAAGTTTTGGGATCTCTCGACGTCTTCAAGGGGTGTTCATTGTTAGATGATATCTTTAATGAGATTCCATGAAAAAAATTAGCTATTTTACACAAATATCACCTTAATAAAAATTAATTACTTGTTAGTCACTGTTTAAGAATATTTTACGGATCTAATATTTTTAAATACTTTCTATAAAATTATTCATGCATTAAATTATATAATACAATTATATCTACCAATTACCACTTGACACTTTCTGATGCGTTTTTGACCCTTTCAAAATCCTATACGTGTAGTATATTCTAGGAAACTTTGAGGGTAAGTAATTTAAAATATAAATAATTTTATAAAATATTACAGATCATTATCATTTTAAAAATAATTTTACAGAAATACGCGGTACATGTACCGCATAAGATTTTAAAAAATATTTATAAAAGTTTTATAACTAATATTTATTTTTCAAAATCCTATGCGGTGAATGTGCCGCACCTTTCTACAAAATTATTTTTCAAAATCCTATACGTATAAGATTTTGAAAAGGTCAAAAACACATCTCAAGTAGTAATTGGTAGACATAATTGTATTGTACAATTTAATGCAGGAATAATTTTATAGAAATTATTTAAAATATGCTAGATTTGTAAAATATTCTTAAACGGTACTTAACAAGTAATTAATTTCTGTTAAGGTGATATTTGTGTAAAAATGCCAACTTTTTTTTTAAATACTAAAGACGTCGGGATTTCCACAATTAAATTCACCCAAAGACACCGAGAAATCTGATCCACCCTTAAAGACGCCTAGAAATCTCAAAACCATATAAAAAATACCCTATATCAAAAATTAATCGAGTGACTACATTACTTTGGGAATTAAAAATTCCCACGTTATTATTTGGGCACTTTTGCCTAATGTATGAGGGGTTTCTAAGCCAAAGTCGAAAGATGCAATTAATAGATCCAAAGGAACTTCAGAATGTTTACTAACAACGCGTGAAGCACACTGTATCTTTCTTCTTTTTTCTTTGAAAGCTTAAGCAAAGTTACCCAGTATTTGGAATTGGACACACCTTGTCATAGGTTCAAATAAAACCTACAAACAGTGATAATAATATATATATATATATATATATATATAAACAAATAAATAAAGGAAACCTTATTCTTTCTCTATCATGTTATGCACTGAATTGGAACAAGCAGATTGCAGTCAAACCATTAGCAAGTAGTTTTAAAAGATTATATAAGCTTCTTTTTTCCTTATTCTGTTTCGTTGAGTCTTTTTTTTCCTTCAGATTATTTGCACCCAAAAGCTTCTTTTTTGAAGGTGTGGGTGCGTTGTTATCAGATTTTATTTTATGGATTTTTCTTAAATTCGTCCTCCCCCCCCTTTTTTTGGTTCTTCTGAGCAAGCAAAATATGTTGAATTTTCAGGGGTTTTCTTGAGATTTCTGTAGTTTGGTCTGGTTAATCAATTTGTTTCTTTGGGATGGCTGTTGGGTGCTGAACTAAGAGATAGAGAACTTGTAATATTGAAAAGCTTGTACATAATTATTAAATATATTTCAATATATCAGTACCATGTGCTGGATAAGAATGCGGATGCTACCGGAATCTGATAGCTTATTTGGTAGAGAAAAAGGAAGATCAATGTGGAGCTGAGCTATTGGTTTTCATTTGCAAACTGAACTTGATACTTTTCTTTTTCTGGAAATGCAAGTAGTCTTATAACATAGGATACTTGGAAATCAAACGACAGGGAGAACTTTAATGTTGATCTTTTTGCATATTGATGATGATGCTTTTATTACTCTTTTGAGTTTTGAGACTGATGGGCCCTTTAACGTCGATCTTATGCAGTTCAGATTAGTTATGGAAGCTCTTGCAATCGACACAGAGGATTTTGGTTCAGATGTATACCTTGTTTTAGGACTCAAAAGATCAGGTAAAGGCGCAGTCAGAACTCCACGGATTTTAACACTTCTTCATTCCTTGAGAAATCTCAAGGAAAATGAGATGCAATCAGAGACAGCAAACGTTAAAGTCTTCCATGGCTTGAGTTCCCACCATAAGCATTTGACAGTATATCAATCGCATCTTCAAGTATGCTCGGTGCAGTCCTTCATGCTTTCCTGTTGCATACATTTACTTGGATAGGTTTGAACAACAAACTGATGTGCATTTAACTTCCCGCAATATTCATCGGCTCCTTTTAACCAGTGTTATGGTAGCAGCAAAATTTATTGATGACATGTATTAACCATTCTCACAACTCATGGCCGATAATGAACTCACTTTCATTTTTTTTTGTGGGATCGTATATAAAGGTTGATCTTAGATATCCTTTGAGCAAGAATTTCCCGACAAAGATGTGTCAGTTTGGTTAGAAAAAAAGAACATTCCGTTTTGCAGCTTTTTATTCCGTTGTCTTTTGCAGGTATTTCAACAATGCATATTATGCACATGTGGAAGGCATAAGCACAGCTGAGTTGAATAGGTTGGAGATGAAATTTTTGTTTAGTCTAGATTTTAGATTTCAAGTAAGCATCAATACATTTCAGAGATACTGTTCTCGGCTGCAAAGGGAATCCGCGGAAGGGCATCGAGTTGAGCAGCCTATCCGAGCTTGTGGGATTAGAGAGAGTTGGCCCAGCAAAAGTGATGCAGAGTGTGCTCCCACAATTGCAAGATGAAGATTCAAAGTAACCCTCGTTGCATCAGTAAAGTCCCACTTGATGCTTGAATTCAATTAAGTTTTGAGTCTTGGAAAACTTGGATGATTAATTCATGTGCCAAACGTAGTCTTAGCAATGATTCTTGAAGAAACATCAAACTTGTTCCTTTGCATAATTTTTTTTATCATTTTATGCCATTAGGGCATGATTTTTTTTCCATATTTTATTCTTTATTTCTTGGCTGTAGCTTGTAATTTAGCTTTTTGCAGTCTCCTTGTGCAAAATGCATGTATATTAAATGCCGACTTTGTGGTCATGAAAATTAGTGCTTCCAATATACATTTTCCAAGATTTTGGTCTTATAGCTTTAACCCCCTTAGCATTTCCCTGTTCTTTAACGTTAATTTGAGATTAAAGTGAAATCATATGTTTTTTTTATCGTATTGCAGTTCAATTATCAGAGATGATAGAGTGAGTGATAAAGGGAATTCTCGTCTCTAGAGAGGAATATTTTACATGTAACCTCTATACATAATGAAATGTTGAATGAGTATAAAATACAGTAAGGTTTGGAAAATTTTGAAACATAATCTTACACTGCATGAATCTACAGATTCAAGTCCCTATGCAAATTTAGGTCATTCAGAAAGCATCTGTGTAATCAAGGCTGTTATATTTTTCCACCAATATTAAGCTGTACTCTGTATGGTTACCTTATTTCTCCCAACATCAGTCATAAGCTTCCGATCCCTGTTTTTGATGGCTATTGTATCCTTGAACCGAGACAGTTTTAGATTTGCCAGCGAAAAACATTCAACAGTATTATCTGGGAGGTCTCTCCAGTGCAACCCAACCAAACTTCCCTTTTCGAAAATCAGACAGGATACGGAAGGCTGCTTGGTGGACATCCCCGTTGAACAATCGAAGGGCTAACTTATCAATAAATCTGAAAAAGCAGATGATCAACACCCAAATCAATCTGGAATTCAGGTACATGGAAATCTCTAGATGAGTTTTTAACTCCATGAATGCTTCCTAAACTACATCCTTTTTCAGTGTACATAAGACGGGCTTTTTTTGCTTGTTATGACAATGGTTGCTTATTTATTTTGTTGGCTTGTGCTTTTAGACAGATCAACTCATTTTAAAAAGTAGCAGATCGAGAGATACATTTTACCGCTCGGCCCATCCACATCAACCTTGTAGCGGTTTTGAAGAGTTTTCATCCCTGGCAAGCACAACTAAAATCTATTAGCAGCAGCTAGTTTCAGCCAAAAGTTGAAAGCTCAACTCCAGTCATAGATTGTTGTAAACAAAAAAAGATTCTCAAGGAAATATGTAAAGAACAAGACTTGTGCAATTCAGAATTGCAAATCAACCGAAAATTTCCCTTTCTATGTCAAGCTCTTCATATACCAAATTGTTTGTAGTGCACTCTGAACATCTCAGTATAAGCAACAGTTTTGAGCAAAGCTAATTCTATTAGTTTGAATAAATAATTAATTTTGGCAAGTCTTCCATAGCTCCCATACAAGGTTTGATGTCTATGAAGCAAGTAACTTCAAGACTCTTATTTATGGAAATCACGTATATTTACAGCTTTTTCTGAAAATCTTCATTATATATGGTAGAAAAAAATCAGTTTATTCACAAAATGCTTTGGGAGAGGAAAAAATGAAATGCATCCATTATATTCCTCCTGGAAAAGAAGCAGGGAAAAATGAGTATTTTATTGAGTCATGATTATGCCTATTGAGACACTCTATCCCCGTTTTGAATCCCTATTATGTTCTAACTTCTTCAGTTCAGCTTCCCATGTCTATTTATAGTCCCCTGTTCCTATGGTCAATATACCATATTGATCAAACAAAAAACAGAAAAAGAAAGGACTTTTTTCCTACAAAAATTATTATTTCTTTGTTTTCACCATCCATATTAGTATAATTATACCACAAAAGTTACTATCAGCTGTCCTTAAATAACTTTAAAGATTCCAATGTTAACAGGGCTCTCAGATTATAGCTTTGTAATATCATGTAATGCAAATTGAAATTGTGTAGCAAAATTCAATTTGACATGAAAGTCCAAGCTATGAAACTGAAGTGCTTTCTTGACAGAGAGGGAAAATAATGACTGAATGAGTACCATTATGCATAATACATAAGTACGTACCTACTGTTGGAAGCTTTGCTAACATCTGAACAAGAATGGCAGCAACATCAGCAACGTCATAGGACCTCTCTCCAATGTCATCACAAATAGCAAGTTTTATTGCAGCTGCTTGATCACTAATTCTCATTGGGAGTATCCCAGGAGAATCCAGCAACTCAAGATCTTTCCCAAATCGAACCCATCTTTCAAAAGATGTATAAGGGTTAAAAATATGAGTAATTCAAAAGATGCTTTTTCATGCCAAGCTTTAAATGAATTTCAATTTTTTGTTTTGTCAAAACAAAAGATACTCTTGATTCATATTTATCCGAAAGGGAAACAATTATAGTATACAATAAAAAAAAATTTAACTACAAAAAACTGTAAAAGAACCCCAATAACGGTCAATGACAACACAACTCTGGACTTCTTTGGATTCCACAATGCAACATTAGAGCTTTTAAACTATTTGAATGCACTATGTGACAGTTAATAAACCAAAACCAACCGAATACGTACTTCAGTTCCCTTGTAACACCAGGTCTAGGAGCAGCTGCACACATTCTTCGTTTAAGCAAACGGTTGACCAAAGATGATTTCCCGACATTTGGATACCCAACTATTCCAGCTCGAACCTGGAAAAAATATAAAAGGACCAACACCTATATTAACATTTGAGTATGAAGCTTTAGAATATGGGTTCAATACTGCTTGATATATATGTACATCAAACAGATTATGTAAATATCTGATAACTTGATAACTGCTAAATGCAATATTGTTCAAATTTCAAAATTCATCACAATTGGTCTTTCAACATAAAAATTGTAAACAATCCAAATCATCTTTTGATAAATGAAGTTTACACATATAAATAAACAGCAAAACACTTGCAAAAATATGCAGTGAACCAAAGAAGCTAAGACACAACTCAAGAATGAAGATACAGGCATGCAAACAAATGCAGTGAAACCCACCGGACGAGGAAGGAGACCTTTCGCTCTACGTTTAACATTTACTCCTTCTGCTAAAGACTTTGCCAATCGACCTAGCTTCATCGTCCCCTGCATTTACAAAATTCAGATAAGTAACTTACTGAAACAATCTTCGAACCACAAAAAGTAAAAGGTCAAAATAAAGAAGTCCTAATTCAAATACCATTCCAAGCTTCCCATTTGAGAAGACAACCTTGGTTCCCTGACTTGAGAAATACATTCCCCAAGCATTCCTATCTGCACTGGATATCATGTCCTCTCGGTTTAAAACTAAAATCCTCTTTCGATTACCAAGCCATAAATCCATCTGTGCACATAGCAAACTCAGCATATAGAGATTCAGCTAAACATGAGATAACCGAATAGTGTAAAAAGATAACCTGAGGGTGCGTAGTAGATAAAGGAATTCTAGCATCCCGTACTTCTATGACCACATCCATTAACTTGAGTTGTTCTTTCAGTTCTTTTTCTGTTTTTGCAATATGCCCAGGATACCACTGCACCATTTTTAGAGCTCGTTAAAAACTTAGCAATGAAGATAAAACAGCTATCAAAGGCACCAGCTTTATACCTGCACTGGACGAAGTGCCCTGGTCCAGTACTGAAGATCAGAATCTATTTCTACCCAATCAATTTCATCTTCGACCGAGTCATTGACACTCCCATTTTCACGCCATGTTGGTGTTTTACCTCCCACAATCTGTCACGTTTAGTCGGGGAGTAAAGTCTACAAATAATTTAAGTGATACCCCAAAAAAATGAAAACATGGGCTATGTTTAGGGGACAAAAATAAGCTTGCCTGGATGGTTGGTGGAGGCGAGGAGAGAGAAGCTGCGGCTGAGAGAGCTTTCGTTTGAGAAAATTTGGGGTTCGGGTCTGGAGAGACTCGGCATTGAGTGAAGTGAGCGATATTCGAGCACGGCAGTAACCACCGTCCTGATAGCTGTAAAGCCATCGGTGTAATCTCAAAACAGTTGCTCTTTGGTTCGAGTTCTTTTTAGATAATGAAGGATGAATTGTAGAACTGCAAGTGTGAATTTTAATTTTAATTTTTTTTTGTATTTTAGATAATGATACCTGAAACAAAGTTGTGGCCCATAAAACAGCCCAAATCGGACCGTAATATATTGGGCCAAGATTTTTCACATTCCTCACACTAATTTCTCCCTACGGTTTAGAAAGTTTTTGATATCTTCTACCCATGCTGCTGTTTATGTTTCAGTTTTATGGGGAAAAAATGATAATGACCATCGGACCGTCATTCCATGGCAGCTCCTTCTCCGCAACCTTCACGGGCTCCACCGCTGTTTCACAAAATATACCATCTACCTCTCATCTACTTCACCACGTGACCTCCAGTGTCACCTGCCCTACTGCTGATTCCTCAAGCCAGTATTGTTTTACCAAGTACCCCACCATGAAGAAAGAGAAAGGCCCTTGTGACTAATTATTACTAGTAATTTGCTTTTAAGTACAGTACCAAATATAAACTAATATTGTTTGATTGTTTGTGTCAGTAAGATGCAATCATATCAGCTTAATATCGGGGGAATCTTGGACTAGTTGTTGGGTTAATTAAGACCGAATTTCTTATGGAATCTAGATACTCTCCTATAGGCTAAATAGTTTGTTTTAATAATCCCATTGAGTTTTAATGTTTTATGGTGCGGGAATGAAGTAATTCGTACATCGGGAGGTTCTTTTGAGGAAGTTAAAATACGGCTTAAAAAATAGCGTGAATGATTAAATAACTGATCGATTAAAAGTGTTACCGTAAATATTATATGTTTCACCGAAAATATAATTTGTGTTGGTAATAATAATTGTAATAACCGGCAATATCATTTTTTTATATAAAATGCGTAAAAAAATTGACTTTAACATAATCGATTAATTACTGGAAACATTATCAACCATAATAACATAACATGTAGCATTTATTTAACGTAATAGATAGCACATTTTTAAAGCCGATGGGCCCTTAGAAATCCGACGATAACAAAAGAGGTTAATTACTTAATTTGTTATCAATATTATCAAAATATTAGGTAGCGCCTAAAATGTTACGAAAGTTTAAGTTGATGGAGCCTTAGAAGTCCAACGATAACAAAATAGGTTAATTACTGGAAACATTATCAACCATAATAACATAACAAGTAGCGCATGATTAAAGTTGATAGGGCCTTAGAAATCCGACGATAACGAAATAGGTTAATTACTTAAATTGATTTCAATATTATCAACATATTATCGTGTACATTGTTAATTTACCTAAAGTAATAGGTTTCGAAATTATAAGTATCGATATTTATATAATAGTATCTGTCGAAACGATTTTTTCTTAAAGGTGAAAAAAATGAGATTTTAAAAACCACATTAATTTTTAATTTACCCTTTCAATTGATTTTTAATTTAAAAATAAATGTGATTTAAAAACCTGTCGTTTCGAAAAATTTTGGATTTCCTTTACGATCGAAAATATACGGTTCAAAGAGTCGCCACCAATCTTTGATTAGGGTGTGATTGGGTACCCAAAAAATGTTTGTTATTTTAATAAAAAATTAATTTTAATTAAAACAACAAATTAAGGTCTGCGTTACCAAAATCCGAGTTCGGAAGTCGGTTACGTGCGGGGAAGGATTAGCACCCCCACAACGCCCTAAATCGGTACCTAGTCGATTAATTAACGTCTTTGCAATGAACTTTACAAATTCAAATTTAATTTGACTTTTAATCCCATAAAACAACAAATATGAATTTTACAATATTCAAAAGCATCCAAATAAATTAAATTAAAATTACCAAGTTATTTTAGAAAGATAAAGAATGTTCGATTATTTATAAATATCGAGACCAGATCTTAAAAGCTATAACAACCTTTTCTCGACAAATTTAAATAAACGAATATTTCCTTTTCTTTCGTTCCCAAATTTTAAGTGACGAATCAATTTTTTTTGTTTCACTTCCGGGATACGCTTTTAATTTAAAATAGTCAAATCGACTCTCTAATCAGTTAAGATTAGCCGCTCAAGACAATTTTAAATTAAAAGGGTATTACCCTTAGTCCGATTATGTATTTATAAGTCGAGTTATGCACATGAGGGTATCATACAAATTATGCAAAAAAATGTCATGTCAAAATTAATTAAACAAAATTAAAAAAAACATACAATGTGACATACAAAAAATATATACGTATATTTAATTAAAAATCATAAATTATGCATATTGACATATTATGTACACATGTGACCTAAATATAAAAAACAAAATCATAACATGCTAAACTATAAATTTAAAAAGTATATATATACATGTTAAAATAAGGACTAAATTTAAATACACATAAAATTAAACATACTAATTAAAAATTAAAACAAATTATGGATTGCTCTGTAAAATGCGACTAAATTGAAAGGTCTAGACATAATTTACCCCTAAAGTCATGGTGACTAAACTCTAATTTACCCAAATATTTTAATGACTAAATCCTAATTTAACCAAAAACTTTATTGTATAACTTAAATAAATAAATAAAGCTAATATACTTTGCTAAAACTAAACTTACCTGACGCAGACAAGCACTCACACAAACCTCACGCTTTACTCTTCTTCTCCAACTCTTCCCCTCTTCTATTCTTCATCGCTTCCACTTCACATGGTCAAAAGCAAGGCTCTTCGAGCCTAATAAACTCTGGCCGGCCACCATATTTTGGTGGCCACTCCTACCCAAACCACCACAAAATAATCCTTAATATAAAGAACCCAACACCTATGTTCTATGACAACCCGAACGAAACTCCAACCGAAGCAAAACGGCCACCACAACCCTCCATCGCTCAAAGCCCTAACAACGGAAGGAAATCTATCGACGAAGAAGAAAGGTAAATTTTTGTTTGGGTTTTTTACTTCTATGGGCAAGGTTCCATTTCTAATTCTTAAACGTTTTTCTAGATTACTCTTTCTAAAGATAATCTCCTAAATCGACCCAAGAATGTTAAACTAACAAGTTTATAATAGCCCTAAGGACGTATCCTTTAACCTCCCATCACTGGAAATGGCTTCAATCACTAAGGTAAACATACTACTATTCTTTTATGATTTTAATTTGATTTTAATTCAAAAAAAATGCACACATCAGAATATTATGAAAGTAATGGAAAATGGAAACTAAAATATACCCGTTTGATTCTGTATATTGCTTTGGTTCAATGAAAAGTGGGGCTCTTTCCTTTGATTTTCGAACACTCTTTGTACAATCGTTTGATCCTTTTGATTCTGTGACCAAGAAATATTTTACAAAAAAAAAACTATCCTCTAGTTCTTGCTCTTGTGTTCTCTCTGTTCCTTGTGTGTCTTTTTTTTCCTCCCTCTTTCCTCGTTCTTAATCAATAAAAACTGCCCCTCACTCCATTTACAATGTTTTTTAACTCCTGATAACCATTTTCAGTTTTCCAGGACTTCACGGACTGGAAGCTTGGATGATAACAATGCTGGGTCATTAGGCTTGAACTGGGCCTTCAACGGGTTGGGTTTTTCTTTAGGCCTGCCATTGCTTCGAGTCTGCTCCGACTTAGCCCCGGACAAATCGAACATCTACAGCTGCCCCTCTTTGCTCATTGTCGTATAACGGGAATAGAGCAAAGATTAAAAGATGATCAAATTTGTCCGGTCATGAAAACTTCAAAAGATTAAACCACTCGCTGTTACGTCGGGATAAATGAGACTTGAAAAATCTTCAAATGACGGGTCCACTCCCTATTTCTCAGGGATTAAGGAACTCGAACAATCTTCTAAAAATGGGTTCGCTCCCTATTGCTTCAGGGAGTAGAACTCGAATAATCTTCTGCTTACAAGTTCGCTCCCTCTAGGTTCAGGGGGTAGAACTCGAACAATCTTCCGCCTACGGGTTCACTCTCTTGCTTCAGGGAGTAGAACTCGAACAATCTTCTGCCTACGGGTTCGCTCCCTCTTGCTTTCAGGGAGTAGAACTCGAACAATCTTCTGGTGTGATTATGCTTCACTATTCTTCCATGAAGGCTCAACTTCAAAGGTTAAACCTGAAAATCAAACGTTGCCCCTCATTAATGTATGCTTGAAGATTTGAAAAACATTATACTAAAAAAAAATAGAATTTAAGAGAATCTTTGAGAATCCATTTCTCTTGTGGGAGCTTGTCTCGCAACAACTAGATATGAGAATCTTCTTAGACTCGGCTGCCATCTGAACCTCTCTTTTCCTGGGATCTTAAATTGGTTAATGACTCCTCGTGCGCATTTCCTTTTAATCAATTGATCCGTTTCTTTGTACTCGAGAACCTTCGCTTTCCTCCCACATCTGATGGCTTCTCCAACACTCTTCCAAGAAGGCTTAAAATGGCCCGAAGGACTTATCATCTTGCTCAAAAGACTTACAAATGATCCGAAGGATTTCATCATCATGCTCGAAAGACTTACTGATGGATTTGCTTCACTACTCTTCGGTGAAGGCTTACAAATTACCCGAAGGATTTAATCATCATGCTCGAAAGACTTACTGATGGGTTTGCTTCACTACTCTTCCATGAAGGCTTACAAATTTTCCGAATGATTTAATCATCATGCTCGAAAGACTTATTGATGGCCCTAAGGATTTAAGCATCATGCCCGAAAGACTTACTGATGGCTCGAAGGACTTAAATTGTTTACTGGGTAAGAAACCTTACTTATTTTTCAAAATCTCAAATTTCATATTTTAATGAGAAATCTTTCTCATTTCACTTCATAAAAATGACTTAATGGTCGGTCTACGTGCCCCGCTTCAAAGCAATGCTTCCTCTGTGGATTGACCCCTGCGTTCCTCAGGTTCTGTCTCTCTAAACATGATTCCCCGTATTTGATGTTTAACTTCTACCTTTCAATTGTCGGGATTTTAACATCCTGCATCTTCTCTTTTCACTGGAAGATCTGTCGAAATCATGTGTTTATGCATGAAACACGAATGCAATGAAATGTATCAGTGTAATGCAT